GGTCCGCAACCCTGTCAACAGCGATACGCACACGTCCGTCACGATATCCTCTTTTCCGCTACGATATGCGTCAGGAGCACAAGCAACTGGAGGTACGGGACGCGCCATTTGCTAACCACCCAGTCAATACCACATCCTTGCATTTTCGCCTGTACTGTACGTACATCGCCCGCCCTGGCTTCCTGTGATCAGGGGGACCGCGGCCCTGGGCCATGCTGAGGAGCTTGTCCGCGCGGGCGTGAGCGACGGGCCGGCTGCGCCCTGCTTTGCTTTGGCAGCGGGGCATGTCAGAGGGCTAGCGGGGGCCGTAGGTGGGGAGGGTAGGCTGTGTTGGGGGCTGGGCTGTCCATAGGGTCAATTCCGCCGGTTGCTGCCCACGGCACACCCGTCCGCGGTCGCCTCGACTTGCTATTTTTTCAGACCGCGTTCGCGGTGACGCGATTGGCCAGACGGGCGATGCCTGTCTCCGGGGCGCCACGCGAGCGGTAGGTCAGTGGGGGATCGGGGGGTGGGGGGGTTGAAGGCCGGCATGGCGAAGGGGAAGCGGAATGGCGTGCTGGACCGTTTTCTGCGCCGCTCGGAGGGCGGCCAGGAGGAGGCCGACCCGTGGGCGAACTACCACGAGGAGCTGGACGAGGAGACGCTGCGCGACCTGGAGTCGTCGATCACGCCGCGAGCGGGGCTGGCGTACCTGGCCGGCCAGAGACTGGCCGACTACGAGACCCGGCTAAAGGCGCTGGAGGAGATACTCCTGAGGACGGCCACGATCCCGCCGGAGGCCGCCGTGGCCCGGGGGGCCCAGATCGCACCGCCCACGCCGGCGATTGCTGTACAGGTGCCGGCGGCTCCGGCCGGGGATGATGATGAGGTCTCGGCCAGCGGGTCGTTTACGGATGCGGATGCGGATGCCTGCGAGCCGGCGGCCGGGCCAGCGCTGGAGGATGCGGATCAGGTCCCGGTGCCGGCGACGCCCGACAAGCTGCTGTCCAGGGAGCGCTCGACCCTGGGCGACCTGTCGTTCCTGCCGGCGGGGATCGACGGAGGGGGGGTGGACAGGCTGGAGCCCGGGGAGAAGACGCCGTGGTCCTTTGCCCGGGTGCCGCTGCTGCTGGTGAGGCGGTCCCGCTCTGCGGGCGACATGGCGCAGATGGATGCAGTGAAGGGAGGGGAGAGGGAAGGGGTGGGCAGGCTGGAGGGCACCCGGGCGCCCTGGTGGGCCCGGCGGGGACTGGCGAGGCGCGGGTCGGTTGGGGAGCTGCAGCATGTGGGCGCGCTGGGCAAAGGGAAGGAAGAGGGGGGGCTCAACCGGCTGGAGACCAGCGTGTCGGGTTGGGCCCCGGCGCTGAAACGGAGCCGGTCGGCGGGAGATGGGCTGGAGGCGGAGGCGGTGGCGAGGCAAGATGTGGGCGACGCGCCGAACAGGCTGGAGACAGAGGTGTCGGCGTGGAAGGCGCCGCGGATTGAGCGGAGCAGGTCGCAGGGCGACCTGCTCGAGGCGCCGGCGGTGGCGCCGCAGGGCGCCGGGGAAGGGCTCAATCGCTTGGAGACCAGCGTGTCCGCGTGGACCACGCCGCGGCGGCCCTTGCGGCCGGCGGAGGAGAACTCCATCAAGCCCGTGGCCAGAGTGGCCCCCGCGGGCCTGGAAGAGGCCGGCAGCCTGAACCGACTGCAGACGTCCGTCTGGCAGTGGACGCACAAGCAGCCCAAGAACGGGTCGGACCGCGCGCTGCGTACGCGCAAGATCCTCCGCCTGGGCCACCCGGCGCCGGGCCGGTACCGCGGGACCTTCAAGCGGCCGCACAGGCGTCCGCCCAGGCCGCCGCCCAGCGTGGCCGACAGCTTCGACTCGTCGCTGCGCGAATTGATGACGCCGTCGCCGGGCGGGTCGACGGGTCGCCGGCGGTGGACGCTGAAGGGGATCGACCAGTGCAGCCCGGACGAGGCGGCGTCGCGCCTGGGCGACGGCTCCAGCACCCTGGGCTCCCTGGGCTCCGGTGGCCGCAGCGAAAGGTCGGTGGTGCTGTCCACGCGGGAGGTGCGCGCGACCTCTGAGCCGGCCCGGGGTGCGCAGTATAGCGACGATGACGTGACGCGCCTGATCGCGGACGAGCCGCTGTTCAGGTTCGTCATCAACGAGGAGGAGGCGCCGGACTAGACGCCCCGGCCGCGTGGGGGGGAGGGGGGGCTAGGACTGCGCGGCGTGGGCCCGCGGTGCTTCCTGCAGGGTGGCCGAATGGCGGTCCGCTTTGTTCTGTGGAACTGCGGGTTTGCTGGGCGGGGATAGGGCGGGTGATCGCGACCGCGGAGCTGGATGTGGATGCATCGTGCGGGGCGATTCCGGGCTGTTTTTTTCCTGTTGTAGCGGAAATCCTCATCATCTCATGTGCGTCAGAAAGGAAGCGGCTTGGCTGGATTCTACTCTATCGCATATTGCGTTTGTGTTGAGAGAAAACACGGACTGGAAATGGCTGGCGAAACGCCAGAAGTGAAATTGGTGCTCTGCCCTGCCGGGTTGTTGAATAAGTTCACTGTTTTGTGCTTGTTCCTGCCGTGCTTAGAATAGAAGCTCATCCAATTTGGCAGGTTTTATTATCAAGGCTGGGGCAGTTGGTAGTGAGAGGATCAATTTCATGGTAGGAAGGAAATGTGTCTCCGACATTCTTACACGGGTTGAGAGTTTTCCTGGGTGTATGCGGCGCCAGGGGTGGGCGACGGGTGACGGGTTCCTTGTGCAGGAGCACGAGGTTTTGTGCACCCCGAAAATTCGACGATCATGTGCATGGGGAATGTTGTGAGGGAGGTGGCAAGGCAGAAACGAGCTGGCTCGAATACAAACTCGATGCCGAGTTGAGAAATCGAACCTGTAAAAGATTCAGAACATCACACTGTGAAGGGTATCCGGTCCCTTCATCCGTCCCTGCTGATGGGCAGGCACACATCCAGCGCCTCGCTTGCCATGCTTGTGGCTATGCGCTGCATGCGCTAGTGCTTGTGAGCTGGGCATGGGAGGTATCGGAAAGACGCTATTGCATTTGTCGTGATTGACAGTGCTCGGTGGGTGTATAGGGCAACATCCCACTTCACCACGGCGACACATTTAGGCAGCTTTCGTCCATCGCATAGGCTTCTTACGGGTTGGGCAGCCATCAAGGATGGGAGCCATCCCGAATGGCCGCAGCGCAGGTCAGAAGAATATTTTACTCCTGAGGGGCCACCCACTGCTCAACCGGGACGTCTCCCTCCACACAAAGATTCACTTCATCAAAAGAACAGTGATGAACAATGCGCACCGGCGACAGCAAGACGATGGAAACCACTATCCCTTGGCAATGAGGCGCCGACGGTGCTGCAGAGCCCAGCAAGCGTCGGTTGCCCACGACCGTGCCTTCCTCAATGCCACAGGGCACCAAATCCTGCAACTGCTGTGGAAGATGAAGCCCACGGGCATGCTCACCGCCTGTCAACACAGCGTGAATTGCGAGTAGTATATTTGTGTGTGTCGGAGAATGGGATCTCTCTCAGCAGGTGCCGTGTTCGATGGGAAGAGGAGCTCGTACGTTCTGCTGCTGGCCAAGCGGGTGTGTGGGCAAACCAAGACCTGCCTCGTGCATCGCTGCAGCTCCCACTTCAACCCGACTTGAACAGCAAAACTGCTATGTTACCTGCAGACAAGGCAAAGGCAAAAGTCTTGGGACAAACCCCAGTTGCAAGATTGCGTGACTTATCTTGGGGAATAAGTGCAGATTCACCAAGAGGACCAACGGGTGCCCAGAGCCAATGCCACCTCAACAAGAACCAAACCTGACAGCCTGGAGTACAGCAACGACATCCATCAGTTCGATGGATGTGGCCAAATACAGGCAAGGCTGTCTCCTGGACAACACGGCGATTGTGGGCATAATTCCATCGAGTGCCGCATAGAGCCGCCAAGCTCCACACCAACAGCAACACACCTATGTAAAAGTAGACAAACTGCTTGGTCTCATGGGTGACATATGAGCCTGCAGAACAACCACTGAACATTAGCCAACTCGCCACAGTCTTACCCAGTTTTCAGTGGACATGACCAGAGGTCCATGTGCAGTTGAGGCAGCCCACAACAGGCAACACCAACCCAAGCAGTGACCATAACCATGTTTGTCTGTGAGCCCTGAACTAGCACAACGTCTACCCCAAACCAGCCCACCCACAAGGCCCAAGACTGACTGTGAGAGTTGTGTGGGCTTGGGGATACAAACACAGGGAGGTTATTAATCCCCAAAGAACCTTGTAAAGATGAGCAAGCGAAAAGCATGGCAGGGGTGGGGCACCATTTGTGCCAAAAACCGAATGGTATTGCAAAGTTTTCTCACTTTCTCAAGCTATCCATTATATCTCTATCACTTGCAAAAGGTGCTGGTGAAAACCCATAGAAAAGCTCAGTCCAGTAAAATATTTGGCAAAGGGCTGGATAGTGGAGACACTCCTTGGGCTTGTTCTTGCCCAGCAGAGGCATCCAGGGAAAACCCCAGGCCAGCACGGTCATGAGCATTTTTGACTAAGCATGGCTACCCATTTTCTAGGCCATGGATGGCATCCCCACAACTCTGAAACCCTCCAGTTGTTACTCAGCTATCTTTTGCTCAATTTCCATTGAAGCTTTCCCATTCCTTTCCAAGGAAACAGTCCTTTGGCGGGCCATGAAATGATGTTTCCACTTTAATATGGCACTGGGCTTCCCTTCCTGGAGAAACGATTTGCGACGCACTGTGATCTCGCAAGGGAGGGTGTGCAAGTAGAAGGAGACAAGCAGACAGAAATGCAGCTGTGCGCCAGGGCTGCGAGCAGGAACGCATGCTGAGCAAGTGCCTGAGCGAACGACCGCGAAACGAAGCAGCACATTGCCCGTGCAGTCACAGTCCTTCCAACCGAAAACCGCGGTTCGCCATTCGCATTTGTAGTTCGCCCGATCTCCGGGCGCGCGGTGATCAGTGCGCCCTCCCAAGGCCACCAATCGCTTCTCACGGCGCGGCGCAGTCGCCTCCCGGCTCGCACGTCGACGCCCACCCACCGAAGCTCTTCCCCACGACGCAGTGCCATGTCTGCCCGTACTTGTTGTCGAACTCCTTTTTGATGTACATCGCGACGTCCTTCTCCACGCTCCACTTCTCCAGCGCCTGCGGCCGCGAGGCACACCACGGCCGCAGTCGGCCGTTCGCCGGGATCCAGAAAACTCCGCGCGACCGCGGACCTGGCTAGGAGCCAGGCACCTTTCCTCCACCCCGCCTTCCCTCCCCCCCTCAGCCGCGCCCCGGGGCCCAGACGCAGTCTGAGCTACGAGCTCGCGATCGGCTCACAGGCGCGGCAGGCGCAGAATCCGGTGCGAAGGTCACCACCCTGGCGGGCGGGATCCGGCCCCGCCCTCCGCCCCAGGAGCCGCCGGCCGGCCGCTACGGCGCCCACACCTGCGTCGTGCACTCGATGGCCTCCTGCTGCATTTCCTCCGACATGTCCGCGTTTTTGATGATCGCCTTGCGCTCCGTCATGGCTGCGGACTTGGGCGCGTCCACCGTTGCCAAAGATCCAACACCGGGCAAGGGGGAATTGTCGGGCGGGGAGGGCTGAAGCGGACGGCCCTGTGTCGGAGCCTCGGAGAGGCGTCGGGCGGTTCTCCCGACGCCGCTCGAGCGCTGCGCCGTCGAAGCAACCGTGGCAGTCGCCCCGCGGAAGTGCGCCTCGCTGATAAATATTGCTAGTAATAAAAAAGAAATTACTAAGTATTTTCTTTTCAGGAAAGAAAAGATTTTAGGAAACTAAGAAAAGATTTAAAAGAAGAATAAAAGAAAATGATTGGGAAAGGAACTTAGGAAAAGAGTTTATGAAAAGAGTTTTATTCTTTGCAGCGGAGAGCAGCCCCAGAATCGGAAGAGTCCAAGGAATCGGAAAAATCGGTGGAATCGGGTCCTGTGTTGGCAGGTGGGGAGCCCCCTTCTGCCTGCCGGTTTGGGCGTGCCCCTGTTCGCTCGCCGCTGTACATTCGGCGATGGCGAGGGAGGTCCTGGCCCTGTACAGGGAGCTGCTCCGGGAAACGCGCCTCTTGCCGAGGCCGTCTTGGTCCTACTACGCCAACTACTTGCGCGAGAACTTTAAGGCGCACGCGGACGAGACAGATGAAGGCAAGTTGGAAGCGCTCCGCCCACAGGGGACCCAGATGCAGCGCTGTCGGATTGGGCTGGCACCTGGCGCGGTCTTTTCCTCTGCTTTAGATTGCGGATTCTTGGTAGCACGTTCGTCAGAATGGCCGCGGCTGTCAAACACCTGTTCCTGTCGCCGTTGCCGCGATTGACCAAAAGCCGCATCTGCTTCCGAAAGCCGTGGACGTCGGGAGGGGCTGGTGAATTGCGCGGTTTCTTTCTGGGTGGCAGATAGGATCAGGTTGATGATAAAGAAAGCTCGGGAGGACGCGAAGTGGGTGATAGAAAAGTACCGAAGCAAGTGAAGGCGAACGGGCTCTCGGCTGCAAGGGCTGTCAAGGAGGCATGTAGTCAGAGGGTATGAGCTGCGCGCCACAGTTGGTCAGCCACATCCCCGAGAGCCGCGAGCGTCTGTCCTTTCGGGCTCCACTCGCCAGATTAGAAGCTGGAGCTCTTTCAAAGAGACCCAAAAAGCAGTTGGCGCCAACCGATCCGATCTGTTTCATTCCTTATTTGAGCTGTTGTTTCAGCCCGAGTTTGGTGCTGCAAACGGAATCCTCTATGGCGAGACTGTCTGCTGTGGAGAGACAGACACCTGTCTGACTGCAATCTTCGGAACGTGACCAAGCCCCGCCCTCACAACTCCGAGGCGGGTGACGGACAGTCTGCTCTGGATTTCCTACCCTGGGCGTTGGATCTCTTTTTGCTTCCCACTGCGCGTGACAACCGTTGCATAAGCACTCCCAACCGACGATAGCCCCACCTCGCAAATGAATGGCTCAATTGTAAAGATTCGGTGTGTCTGGTATTGAGAGAAATGCAGTCATATGCACAGAATGACTGGCCATCCCTCAAGAACATGGTCTGCTGTGATCGGTGGTTCTGGGGTAGACTTCAATCAAGGGCTGCACACGTGTGATGCATGGTTATTTGCAGTGGCACATGACATGAGCACCATATTCAATTGTTTGATGATACTGTTGCGAGCGGGTCAAAGAGAAACAGCAATCCGGAACTACTTGCACATGCACCAACATGTTACGAGTCCAATCACACGTCGGCTCCAGCCCAATCACACGTCGGCTCCATTGATGTTATGATGATATTGCCCCGTTACAAGGCAGCCCTCACAATACAACCATGCTTTCATTCACCCTCAGGCAGGACGAAGGCTGGTGCGGCCGCTTCCAGTTGTCAATGCTCCTATGCAGTATTCAATTGTCAGCTGCCACATTGCCTGCTGCAGCTGAAATAGACTCTGCTGTTGTCTGGGTGCCAGTAACTGTGCAGAACATCCTCCACAGTGTGCTGTTTTCATCATTAAATCTTGTTCCATGAACCTGTCGTGCTGAAAGGCTGCTCTTTTTCAACTCGATCTGTGGCCTTTCCCAACCTGTTCCATCTTGTCATGGGAAGCACAGAACATGGTGTCTGAGTCCTGTTAGTGCAAGGAGCTAACAGATCATGCAATGTGCAGACAACCCCTCTTGAGGTAATTGTTGAGAACTCATGAGTTTCACTGGTGAGTGGCCAAGGAGGTGGATATGGACGGCTGCTATTTAAGGCATTTTCAACTGGGTGCAAGGCCAGCGATTCATGACGTTTAATGAATGTGGTCCGTGTGGAATAGACTTCTGGATGCAAGGGGGTAAGCATACAACGATGAATGCTGTGTGTTCCACTGGATGTTATTAACCATGCTACATCAGTTACCATCACACCATGCCGCTTCAACGACGCTAGCTGCACTGCAAGTTCTACACTATTTTATACCATTGCCGTGGCTGTGATGGCATCGCAGTCACCTTGGCAGCATCTTTTTGTGTGAGTATGGCATCAATATCGACGTCGCCAGTTGGTGGTTTCTACCAAGGAGTAGCACAGTGGCAAGATGCTAGTTGTATAGCTCTGGATACAAGAAGGCTGAGTGGCTTGCCATTATCGGTTGCTTTGGCAGTACACCATCGGCAAACCACGGTACATGCATTGAACCGAAACCTGGCTGCAGCGTCTGGCCCAAAACCTCCCAAAGGTGGGTGGTGTATGAATGGGACGCAGTCGGAATGAATGGCACACTTTTTCGCCATGCCCCTGGCTCTGCTCAAACCCACACGACTGCCCTTATGGGCTCACATAGTTTCGAACTGGTGACAGGCAGACAACATACTTCTAAGAAGCTCCTCGCAGCAACCTATTTCACTAGCCCGAGCGACAAAACTACAACCGGATACCGTGTGACGGTGGCAACTTGCTGGGCCCGACTGTTCGCTCCCAGTCTTAGTTGGTCGCCGATTCTAGAGAGCGGGTTCTGTTTGATGCCTTGCGTAGGGCTGGTAAGACAGACACAAACGACAGTTATCAATCTCTATTACGAAGCTGCAGGTCCTAGACAGAGTGTGTTGTCGAACTTCGTCGTCCTAGAGACTCCGCCAGCAGCCGGGTGCAGCAGCTGGGGTTCCCAGCGGTTTGTGCAATCCAGAACTTAGGTACCTGCGTTAGACAGTCCCGCGCATTCTGCAGCCAAGGTTACTTCCAGAAATGCAGATGGGCAAAGAATTTGTTGGTTTCTCTCGATCCGGTCCTGGCGATGCAACACACCCCTGTCAACGACGGTTCATCGCGCATGGCGCTGCAGCTTTTTCAGGAACGCCTCAACACATGCTTGCACCACACATGTGGTTGTAGGGCACAGGGAAAGCGGTGACGATGGCAAAGAACAGCTTCAAACGACATCATCACAGCTCGTGCAAACTCAAAGAACTATTCCAAGTTCAAAAGAATATGGACATAGTATTTGTACCTTTCTACTCTATATTGTTGTCGAGATTGCATCATCAAGGTTCAACAGTCATTGACTGTCGACCATCGTAGAGGAGACTCTCATCGATGTGCAAAAGTAGGCCTCCTCGATATTCCTCAAATATCCGGCGTCTTGCTCCTTGCAGATCATCAAATGGTGTTCTCGGAGGTCCAACATCGTAGCCCAGTCAGCCATGGCCCGGCAGCGCACCCCACGCGGCGCGAACCGGCAGTGTGGTCTGTTTACAAGGAATCGATTTTTTCCATATTTTCCAAAGCAGGACAGTGCTTTCCACACATATCTCAAGACATCAAGTGGTAACCTCTCCAATAACCAAGACATCACGTGATAAGTGCTTTGCAGAGCCCCTGGTTCGCTTATCTTGTGTTGGGATGGGGGCGGCACCTGAACACTGGCATATGACGTAACATGTTTTGGAATCTTGGAAAAAGTGCTATGTAGGGCAGGGGTACTGGAAAACTCCCCCCCCCCCGGGCGAGTCCTTGGAGGCCTAACATTGCACCTGACATTCCGCACATTCTCCACCTTTGATACGGGTCGCTCGAGGGCATGTTTTTCTCGCCTTGAGTGGCTTGTGTTGTATGCTCATCTTTTGCATCGGGGGCTTTGTATCATCATTTCACAGCATGGAAAAGAAACCCACCCACACTTGCCTATGAGGGGGTGCCCTTTGTACGACCTGTTTCTCTTTGTTTTGTAGCAGGTCTTACTCCCCGAAAAGAGAAATAAAAAATTGCTGCAACGACCAGGGAATCCTGAAAGAGAAACCCCGCCGGCAGCATCCCGTCCTGCGCTGTCCCACTTCGTCCCACGTGGCTCCGCCGCGCCCCCTCCAGTGCTCATTCTCCCTCCCAGCGGGTGGCGCCAGTAATGGGCTCCCGGGTCGCAACCCCCCAGACCAGGCCGGGTTCCTGGCAGAATCTACCCGGCGCCCCGACCGGGGATGCCCGAACCTCGGCGCTCGCAGGACGGGTGGGAGGGGCGGGCGGCCTTCTCCCGCCGCGCGGCCGACGACGCGTCGGGCCCCTCGGACGGCGAGGCCAGCGACGAGCACAAGCCCAAGATGCTGCGCCGCACGCGATCGGTGGGGATCCGCGTCGATTAGAGTTTCCCTCAAAAAAGCGAAAGTGCCGCCTCGCCCCCTTTCCTTTGCCCCTGGCGCCCTCTCGCGCTGTTCGCGGCTTGCCGCGCCCAAGCTGACGGGAGGCTGCTGTGCCAGTTTTCCGACTGCGCGGATGCGGTCGAGGAGCAGCCGAAGATTGTGCTGGGCGTGTGCGCGATGGACAAGAAGGTGGGTGGACTCGTCCGCGAGGGGGGCGACGCGCAGGGTCGCCGGGCGTTCCGCCTGGCGCTGGATTGGCCGACGATGGATTGGGGATGGGGGAAACGGATCGGCCATCGCGCCTTTGCGTTCGGCACCGTCGGCCGCTGTCTGTTGACGACTTTGTGTCGTGGCGTTGGCGTGAATTTTGTTGCAGGCCCGGTCGAAGCCCATGTGCGAGATAGTTAAGCGGCTTCTGGAGTACGGGGAGTTCGAGGTCAATATCTTCGGAGACGACGTGAGTGGAGAGGGGGAGAGGGAGGGGGTGTTTCGCCGCGGTACGCTTTTAAACGGCGCAGAGCCGCTGCTGCAGGACGTCGCCCACACGTTGCTAAAATCCCTTTGATGATGTCGTTTTGGACGTGTTGGAGCGCCTCTTCGTCTGCTCTTCGTCACATCGTGGTGCCACTGGATTGTTGTGATGAAGGCCATTGGCGTCGCAGCAGATAGGGCAATGGGATGGCTGTTTAAGTGCACGCCGATTGCACAAACTGCTCCAGTGCTTGGCTGCAACAATGATACTTGTTATGGCAGTCCCTGTGATCACCAGTTGACATCCACACTATCCACAGAAACATAACCGTCCTTCGTGTGGAGCCCGATACACCTTCTGCCAATGTTGACATGCTGGAGCTGATCCTCACCCCTTTGCTATCCCTTGAGAGCTTCATTGCTGCTGTGCATGACTGCCCATTGCGTGTGCCCAATTTCCCATAGCATGCATTCACCAAACATTCGTAGGGCAATGCCATTTGGCCAGTGGGCGATGCCAGCAAAGAAAGCACTTGGATCTGTCCCACTTGATGGTGGGGATGGGTTGGATGTGGGGTGGGGCGACCCCAACACAATGCTAACAATTGCTGAAGTGATGCCATATGTTGAGTTTCCTTGAAGTGATCTATGTTCTTTCAGACGATTCTGCACAAGACCATTGGCGATTGGCCCAACTGTGACTGCCTCCTAACCTGGCACTCAGAGGGCTTCCCACTAAAGAAAGCAGCACTCTATGCAGCGGAAAGGAAGCCATTTCTCATAAATGACGTGTCCAAACAACATCTTCTGTTGGATCGCAGGAAAGTCTATGGAATTCTGAAGGTGAGACTTTGTCTGGGGCAGTGGACCCTGGCTGAACTGAATAGAGTTGGCTGTCCTGACACAAATAGAATAGTCAGCAGAAGTGAACGCCAGTGACTTGTCTTTTGTCCCAAATCACACAACTGCGCATTCGGTGTATCAATGCCAAGCCCAAGCTGTTGTGGCAAGCCAGAAAAGCCCCTACAACGCAGATATTGTTTGAACAGAATGAAGGAGAATGGTGTCGTGCTGTTCAGGGAATTGCCCTATAAAGCAAAGCCAGAAGCACATTGGCCCTGACGATCGTTCAAGTGGCTGCATTTCGCCCATTAATTATTGCGGGTTCGTTTGGGGCAAAGGCTTCTCAAGTTAGTTCTTAATGTGAATGGAATTATCGGTCAGTGTCAGCTTCAGTCTTGCTTCTGGTGTTTCTGTCATGCTGTCATTGCAGGAAACTGGGATCCCTGTTCCAAACCACGTCATCATAAGTCGGGATGGCCCTGATGGCAATGATCCAAAGGGCCTTGTGGAGAAGGAGGACTACATTGAATTCCAGGGACAGAAAATCCACAAGCCCTTTGTTGAAAAACCAGCCAGCGGGGAAGACCACAACATCTACATTTACTATCCAGCACACATGGTATGGAAGACAAAACAGAAATTGAAGGACTTTGAAAAATTAGATTAATGGTTGAGGAATAAAGCAAAATAAACTCGACAATTGGGTTAATAAGCATAGCTTTGTAAACAGATATCTTGAGGAGAAGAGTGCCAGTGCTGTTGATGTTCCTGTCATCAGCTGGATTCAGTATATTGTGCAGACAACTCTCCCAGTCTCTTCACTGTTGCAGGCAGACTCGATGGGTTCAAGGTTGCCTAGGTGTTTGATGTTTGGAGTTGTTGAGGCAGCACCTTCATGCAACCTGTTTTCAGACAGCTGCTATCACCTTGCAGGTGCAAAGGTGGCGATTCGTCTTACTTCTTGTCCTGTTTAAAATTCTGTGGACTTCAATCCAACTACACTTGAATCGACTGAGAAGTGACCAGATATGAATACTAATATATGGCCTGCCTTCAGCTTGCAGAAAACTAGCTAGGCTAGGTTCAGAGTGACAGAAATCTGGCCCAGGTTAGCACTACGCAGGGGAGTCATTTCCTCCCTTGAGCTGGAGGAATCTGAACTTCATGTTCTGTGCTATTGATGCTTCCGAATAGTTGGTTTGGCAAGATTTACTTGGTGATGTTTCTGTTATGTGCTCTTAGCGCATTTGTTGTTGTGTCCCGTTTGCTTCGGGGACTTTTGTGTCATTTGCAAATGGAATGGAATTTCAAGATATTACACTACAGGCAGGGTGCCATCACATGGCCTGAGTTGCAAACATGCACGCAGCATCAGACTCTTTGATTCATGAACAGCCTGTGAAATGTATTGTCGAGAAATCATAGGATGGACAGTGGTGAGTGTCATGTGTATTGACTTCTTTTTCTGCACCTTGCCTAGGGTGGGGGTGTCAAGAAGCTGTACAGAAAAATCAACAACAAATCTGCTGACTATGAATTGAACCACCCAGGCACAATAAGAAGAAATGGATCATTCATTTATGAGGAATTCTTGGCAACAGGCGGGACAGATGTGAAGGTTTACACGGTATGGAGCCAGCTTTGTTGGTGCCAACGCTGCTCCGATCTTTCTTGAAATCTATTTGTTGGAACATAGGACAAAGTGGAAAGAACTGCAGCTAAGTCACTTGTTGCTTACTTCACTCATCAATGTGTCCAGTCCTCAACTTCTGCAGCCATTGTTGATTCCATTGGAATTCTCAACAAGGGATTGAGAGGGTTCTTTTAATTCCAAAACATGCTAGGGATTGACAAGTTGGATGCTGTCAACCTGCGGACGCTGTGTTCTTTTCTGCGGCCATCCACGCCTGCCTTCCACAAATGAGCGGCGGAAATGGAAGTCGGAAAGATTTTTGGAGATTGGTAAGAAAGATCACTAGTTTAGCAAATGTACCTGACATGCAATTTGTGGTGACATTTATCAACACACCACCAGAATTCAAAACAGCACAATCCGCTGAACTGATGCTTTTGTGCGATGCAGGTTGGCACAAGGTATGCACACGCAGAGGCCCGGAAGTCGCCCGTCGTCGATGGGAAGGTGCAACGTACCAAGCAGGGCAAGGAGGTTCGATTCCCAGTGCTGCTGAGTCCCCCAGAGAAGGAGATAGCACGCCTGGTCACCTTCGCTTTTGGCCAGAAAGTGTGCGGCTTCGATCTGCTGAGGTCTGACAAGGGCAAGTCATATGTCTGCGATGTCAACGGCTGGAGCTTTGTCAAGAGCTCCTACAAGTACTACGACGATGCTGCCGGAATCTTGAGAAGGTGAGTGTGGTTGCTTAATCGATCGTTGGACAAATGATTGGACCTTTTCTCTAGAGAAGATGACATGTGTGAATCTGTGGGGCTGTTGTATAAAACTGAGGTGAAGCCTGACACTTGGAGTCTCACATGAGCACGATTTCTGACTGATTCCATCATGTAGTGCATCTGTGCCGATTGCTCAAGCTCAACAGCCCCTCAAGCAAAGAATCGATATCCAACTTGGCTTTTGTTTCAACAACAAAAGCCACACCTGTTGTGGCACTGTGAATCAAGAGACCATACTTGCACTGTTGATCGCTTTCTAGACATTCCATGGGCAGAAACTCGCGCCCTACATTTCTGTGCCCACTACGTTTTCAGAAATGCTGATGCACCTAAATAGCACACCTGTGGTGTCTGGGCCAAACAAGTTCCCTTTTAAGTTCCATGGCCCTCCAGTTTTATGTTTAACTGTAGAACAAATATGATCATACACAGTTGATGTGTGCGCAATTTTGCTGTGGCTTTTGCATCTCATGACACTAGAATTAGTAGGTTTGGCCCATCAAGAGGTGACGAATGCAATTTGCATCCCATTCACATGTTGTCTGAATGTTCTTGAGTGACTCTGACAGTCCATCCGTGTTGAGAGCTAACGGCCAAAATCCATCTATTTTGAGCCTAGGCAAGTGAATGAATGAACATCCTTACAATTAGCGTGAAAATTCGACGCATTGGTCGTGTCACATGTCACTGATGAACTCAAACAGTCAAACAACGTCCCCTTGCTAGCGATCTACACTGATCTACACTGACCTCACAATGATTGGCAAAAAGCCTATCCCCACAGCATCAAAGAACGCAGTGTATGTCCACAGACAGCAACACACTTAGGAAAGAACCCTGATGAATGTCCATATCCTCAGCTATGCCATCCATCCACTTGCTTAGTCGATGCTTCTATCAAATGCCCAGCCGCTCTTGCAAACTGACCGAAACAAGAACCCCAAACCTTGGCAAACCAGCCCAAGTCCCCTTTCGGCTGCAGCGCAACGCCCCTAAGCAAGATCTCGCGCGCCTGGGCCAACCCTCTACATTCCCACAACATATGGTCATGAGAGAAGTCGTCGCCACACCATGGGCATGGCTCCCACTCGTCCGCATCCCATGGAATCCTACAAGACACCGTATGACACTGTCCCGTAAGCAGTTTGGCCACCATGGTAACGTCTAACAGACTCCCATCAAAAGTTCTTGGTCCTCCACTACGAGCCAACACTGGGAAGCACCTCATGAAGAGCTGCCCCCATCTCTGAATGTCACCATCTACTACCCCATTGGGCCTGTAGAACCCTGTAAATACCCTCATGTAGTAGTCTCCACCTTGCCGGAGGTGGGAAAGAGTCTTCTCCAACACGGATCGATGAAACCTTGTGTGCCCCAACTCCAAGGGCAAACTACTCGTCTGGCGGGACCCACCACTCAATGGCGCCATCAACTCAACCCTACCTCTCTGCATCAAGTACCGAGCCGGGAGCCACAAAAAGTGCAGCTTGACAAGGCCGGCCAGCACCAACACCGCCTTGCAAGATGTGTTCCGCTCAAGTCTGAATGCCATTCTAGCTGCACACAACAACACTGAGTCGAACTGCTCTAGCTTGGTGCTCAAACACAAGATCGAGGCCCAGCAAGGGACACCACGAAACATGAGCAGAATGACCACCCCACCGACAAGACGGAAAAACAAGTAGGGATCCAGCCCCCCAGTCCCGTCTTCCTAGGTGTCGCAGCAATCACAAGTAGGCCCTGACCTGGAATACTATCTCCTCCACTTGTTTTCTCCATGTGAGTGGCTGGTCAAACCACAACCCCAGGTACTGAATTTCCTTGACAAGAGGAATAAGCTCGCCATTAACAGAAGCCTCCAAACCCTGTTCATTACAGACGTTGTTCTCCCAAAAGAACAGGCATCCACAGTTCCTCACACTAAAGTTCATCTTTTACAACTTGCCCCCCCACCTCAACCCCCCCCACCCCCACCCAACCCCACCACCAGATCCAACACTCTGCAATTCGCTGTCTATCACCCAAAGCAACGAAAAAAGAAAACAGGTCCACACGTTGATATCATCTGTGGCACCTGCTGCAGACGGTGCAACAGGTTATCTACACAGATCAGAAATAATGTGAGTGCGATGACCGAGCCCCGTGGTACACCACAACCCGGGAAACTCTTGGACCCACTGCACTGAATATCTGTCCAACCCAAGTTGTTCCATCTTCCCCCACACCCCATGTTGCCACATGGTATCTTGTGCTGCCTGCAGGCAAGCATGATCGCTATCGGCAGCAAGAACTTCTCGCCGAGAAGCTTGCCTGACATCATCGGCCAAGCGAGTGCATGAGAAACACCTCCGAACCTGCCCAAAAACCGAACTGATAGGGGGAAAGGAGTATCCTGGACTCCAGGGATGTCATGATTCTTTTATTTACAAAGCTTTCTAGAATTTTGCCTATGACAGACAAGAGGGAAATCGGACAGTAACGCCTAGGTGATGAGTAATCTGTTTGCCCTAGCTGTCGTAGTGCCAAAACCCACGCTGAGCACCACTCCGCTGCGAAATAGCCACAGCACAGAGATGCGCTGAACACTACTACCAACCAAGGAAGAATCGTCAGCATGCATTTTTGAAGACCCTAGAAGGAATCCCATCGCAACCTGGAGTCCCTCCCACCCTCATCCTATGGATCGTGGAAATCACCTCGCCACGGTACACTGCACTGAACCAGTTATAGACTCTACAGCTTGGTTTATTTGTTCCAGCTCTATCACCTGCCTACTCAGTGTGGAAACATCCAATTCTAGCAAGAGCTGCTGGTTGAATGCAGGCCAATCCACTTTCGTCCACTTCCTAGTTTCGCGGACCACAGCCTTCCGAACATAGCTAAACACCTGAGTCTCAATCAAACTGTGGTCAAACAACACCTCTACTGACACTAGTACATTCCAATCTACGATGATGGTATCAGCGCTGGGGAGGCTACGCTGACATCAATCCAACTATTCCCCACATCGCTCACAAATGTGGGCGGGGACTCCTGACTGTTTACTGCTAGCAGAATGTGCTCTGCCAGTAGTTCCTTCGCTTGGGTCAATGAGTGCAAAGTTAATGCATGTTTAACTTCATGTAGCCATTGAATGAAGCCCTGGGGCCTGGGGCCTGGGGCCTGGGGCATGCGGGGCATGCGGGGGCATGACCATAGTTGTAGTGCCCAACACCTGTCTGACAGTATCCACCGAATGCATTGTCTCCACAGCATCATCCTTGCAGCGATCGCCCCCCATCGGCTCACAGTGGACCCCTCACGATTTCCCCCCCTGCTCCAGAAGCAGGCATCGCCCTCCAAACTCGCAGACCAGATGCGGACGTCCATCTCTTACAATGACGTCCCCCAGGCAGCACATCAAGATGTGAACGGGAACAAGGAGGACGATCCACGGTACCAGTGGGAGGAGCTTCGCTGTGTTCTGGCCATCGTCAGGCATGGCGACAGGACGCCGAAGCAGAAAATGAAGATGAGAGTCACGCAGGTGGGTGGGCACACAAGAGAGACACCCCAGGAGTCCTGGGAGTAAGACAGTTCTGCTCATTGCTCTTAGAACCATACTCAGAACCCCAAGCGGAGCAGCTTGGGGCCACTTGGTCAGGTGATTGTGCCATCTAGGTATTGCTGCAGGCCACGTGGCTCAGCAAATGCAAACACGGTGATAAGCAAAACGGCGTGTTGTGCTGGAGCAATGATTTTGCCGCCCTGTGACTGTCTTCATCGGCATCAGTGACAGCATCTACAAGATGCAGCGTTCCAGACACCAAGATGTGGATGTGTTGGTCGGAGCATGATTGTCTATGACAGGGTAATGAGCTGGTTGTCTTTGGATGCAAGGCACTTGCCTTCTTCTGCAGTGTTTGCTTTTTCGGAGCCAACTTATCCAAAGCAAAAATCAAAGGAATGTGGTTGTCTGGGCTCCAACTGAGCAATCTGAGTTGTGGGAGGCAGTGTGCAAAACTGGCCAACCTGTGAGAATCAACTCCTATATCTCGCTTCCTATGAGCACCGCCACAAGTTCGCACTGAGTGCATTCATCGCAAGTTACAGATTGCTGCCTTCGCCCCTGAAGTGCAACACCAGTTCACTGATATGTACACAGCACCTGCTCACCCAATGTCTAGCGACTTTAGCAGCACATTCACCATAGGCTCACCTTGAAATGCATCCATCGAAATATGACGGATCGTTCCCAGTGTGCCTATTGAACGTTCAGCCAACCTGCTGACCTGGGCAATGCTGCAGCAGTGCTGCATGGGACTGGCAGGGATTCATGCCTTGTCTATGCATCCCATCTGTAGGCACCCATCCTGGAGCTGTTTGAAAAGCACAAGGACAAAAAAGGCAAGGAGGCCAAGCTGAAGAGTCCCAAGCAGCTTCAAGAACTGCTGGACATCACTCGCCGCCTGGTGCAGGAAATGCCAACGTATTCGTCGGATGACCCAATGGGAGGGGAGGTTGAGAAGGGCTATGAGACAAGGGGCAGTGAAATCACAGTGCCTGAGGTCTGTGCAGTGCCCAGTGCCCAGAATACCCCCTCAAAAATTGTACTAACTTTTCTGGTGCTCTGACTGCCTTTGGCCGTGCACTGACTGTGTTTCGATTGTTGCAAAGCACCACCCTTTAGGTGGCTTGATAAGTATGTGCAGCACTGGCATCTCTGCTGATTATGTTGTTTAGGTTTGCTTTCATAAGCAGGGCCCTCGTGACTTGCAGGCACCTTGGTAACATGCACATTGCCGGCAGCATTATGACATGCCAGGGGCATGTGCAGCCACATGCGATGTGGCTGAATTGCTAGGAATGCACTGCTTGCACTATCGCGCATGGGCACCCTCAACAACATTTCAGGCATATTTGGGACCCATGCTTTCTTCTGAAAGCTTCGAAACATTCTCTTTGCACTGAGTGGGTATTGGCAGCGAAAGGTGAACTTTTTCTTTTCTTTTGATTCGAGAGTGTTACTTGAAAATGACAGTTGCAATAATTGTTTCTGTGACCAGTTGCTGTGTGTCTAACAGCAACCCGATTGGATTGCATATCTTGCTTCCGACAGCAACCTGCGGTGTGCGTATATGCTTGTGTTGCACATGTCCATGCAATGCATTGCCCTTGCACATTGTAGGCCATGCTGGGTGCTGTTAGTAGCCACATAAATGTGTTCTTGCAGCTGGTTACCACACAGTGCTTATGCTGGCCTGCTGGTGCATGTCTGCCCAGCCTAGTGCCACAAATCACAGCGAGTCCCAGTCCAAGCTGAGGCAATCCTAACCCCTTGCAAAGCTTCCATCTGCAGCTCTGCAAAGGGAACCTGCTTAGGCTGTGGCCATTTATCACACACTTTTTCCATTTGCAGCAGGTGGAAAGAGACACTCTTGTTTGCGTGTAGAGCTTGGCATCGCCCCGTGTGTACAAGAATGATGACTACTCATTTATGGCACTGTTACTTGTACGCAACAAATGTTTGTGTGTGTTCACCCTGTTCGACCCACTGACTGCGGCCCATCTGATACCTTCACAGTTCAGTGAGATTCGGGAGAAATATCAAATCCTCGTCAATGTCCTTGAGGCTGGTGGTCATTTCGCCGGCATCAATCGGAAAGTGCAGCTGAAGCCATTGGCATGGTCGTCCCCAAGGGAGGGGCAGTCAGAGCGCAGGGTGGAGGAGGTTATGCTCATCCTGAAGCACGGCGGTGTGCTCACACATGCAGGCCGCCAGCAGACCGAAGATTTGGGAAAATACTTTCGGACTGCCATGTACCCCAGGTGAGGCTGTGCCATGTGATGGGTGGCCATCTTGTCAATGAGTCAGTCAAACAAACACAAGCAAGTATTATGTGAATAGAACACTCAGTGAGCGTGTGGTGGTGTTCTTGTTGTAAGGGACAATGTTGGTTGACATTGCATGTTTTTATGCCAGTCTTCCCTTGTTCCATATTTGCAGCATGCATGCATTGCCACACATTGGCTCCCTAGTGTGGTCAGGACAGTTTTGCACATGTGGTGCGGAGCTAATGCTGTCATAGGCACAAGACACAGTGCTTACATGTTCATAGAAGGCATTGTCTGGGCACTGACCAGATCGGTTGTGTACTTCGAGCATCAGGCACATGAAGCCTTTGCTCTTTGGCTGATTGGTATGTGCTGGCATGCATTCATGGTTGGATGCGTTTTCCATAATAAACAGTGCATTTCACATTAGCATTAGGTGCCCTGCTCACTATGTCGCTCACGTATTTTTTATCCCTACTTCTGTGCTCTAGCATTCAGAATATACTACTGCCCTTGGCATGTTCTTTGCTGCGCATGTAGCTGACGTGCCCCCCTCGTTTCGACCGCAGTAATGGAGCAGAGATGGAGAATGGCCTGCTGCGCCTGCACAGCACGTATCGCCATGACCTCAAGATCTACTCGTCGGACGAAGGACGGGTGCAGGCCTCTGCGGCGGCCTTCACCAAGGGCTTGCTCGACCTTGAGGGCAGCTCACTGACGCCCATCCTGGCCAGCCTTGTCAAGAAGGAGACTGGGATGCTGGATGCCTGTGACAAGGCAACGGACGACATCCAGGCTGCCAAGCTAGCCCTGTATGAGCAATTGACAAGGGACACTGACAGCACGCCAGCACGCTTTGCGCGACCACCGGGAACCTCCCCGCGGACCACGCCACCCCGATCACCCTCAGTACCTTTCAGCGGTGAGCCTACCTGCTCGATGTTCTTGCCAAACTTGGTGCATTCACCAGACTGAATGCATTTTCTGAACATGATGCACTGATGAACTGGTGCATGTGCCTAAATATGACAGAAAACTGCCATTTGGCCTTGGAGTATGACAGAAAACTGCCATTTGGCCTTGGAGTATGATGTGCGTAATAGCATCTGCACTGTTTGTTCTGGAATGTTTGTTTTACTAGTTTCACTAGAATCAGGAGCCCCAGAGAAACTAGCTGATGGGTTTTGGAGTGGGGCGAGCATCCATATTGCTGCTTGCTGGGCAGTGCAGAATATCTTACATGAGTGGGCTGCGAGGGGATCTACAGCTATGGCAGTGACATGTGGCTGTGCTCTGAAAATCTGAGCTTGGAACATCGCATTTTGGTGTTGGTTCCAGCTGTTGCAAATCTTCAACACATTGCTGCAACCATCAGTTGCATGCCGCGCGTCTTCTGTGGAGTTGGCAACCAGTGCCCACAACTGAACTGAAGTATCCTGATCGATGACGGGGGAAGATGCACCCGCACCTGCCATTTCTGGATGCACACTTGAAGGGAGCCATTACCACAATATGTCAGCAATTTCTTGTTCTCACTGCCCTGGTTCACTTACTGGAAGGGGAATGAATGAATGTGTGTCCTATATAGTTGCACGAAATACAACACACTGATCAGGACACGTGTCTCTTCTCACTTGAAATCATCATGCAGCATCTGGTTTTGAACAGTCCAGAAAGACCTCACAGCACTTGGCAAAGAACACCCCAACTTTTGTACGCTCAAAAGGAAGGCATAAACAATGGGAAGGAAGCACCATCATGAATGAGTTCTTGCATGCATCAGTGTTGCTCACATCAATGCTACTGGGGTGGTGTTTTGTCCCATTTTGACAAATGCTGCCAATTGAGATCTCCATGCACAGGGTGATGCTGGAACAGCATCCTGGTTATTGCAGTGGGTGTGCAGAAACTAAGAGAAGTTGCATCCGATGGAGCATATCTTCACCCTTGTGGCACTGGAGTAAGGTGCCATGCCACGTTGCCCACCTTCCTCCACCAACCGTTTACAAGTCTACCCATATCTATATGCATCAATCAGGCGATGAGCAATTTTGCATGAAACTGTGGTTTGTGGCGACCTGCCTCCAGGTGGTGATTCCATGTCCCCAGAGCCCCTCCCTCTTGCACAGTCGATGGAGCTCCTCCAGGACGAGCAGAACAGTGCACCGCCACATCGCCGGGCGGATGAGCCGGGTGCCGTGGCGGGCTGCCCACCTGGCATTTCACAGGATCCGCCCACACCAATCAAGGGAGATATCCAGGGCTTGCCGCCAAATGCTCTGAAGCTGCTCTACAGATTGGTGGACCTTCTGCAGGTGACTTGCAGCATTGGGAATGCGCCGACACACCAACTTCCGATCTCTCATGCCTAGTAAATATTTGGCTGATGCTGGGGAAGACAGGCAGAGAGGCTGCGTGAGGCAGTCATTCCGACATCTATTGTGACTTGCAGGCTAGAACTTTATGAATTAAACGAGCTGCCTTCATGAGACAATAGAACATGAGGGTTCTGCATAATTTGACCCATATGTCTTGGCATCCCTTTCTGCCCCTTACGTATTTCAGGCTAGTTTTGGGGTGTGTCCGTAGCTCACTTTTGGGGTATTTGCAGAATCCTGGATTTCAGCGGTCTGCAACTTGTTGTTGTTACATTGTTGTTGGAGGTATAGTGGAAACACATTGAAGCATTTGATTAGCTCCCAGACTAATACCCATCAATTGCTGCGAAAACTTTGCTGGCATGCTTGGGGTGCAAGAAAAGGAGTACATTTGTGCAAAATTTCCGGAACAGGTGTCGATGGCACTGCCTCACAACAACGGACATTGTGGAGAGAACACTGGAGGACTGTGGAGCGTTACTCATACAAGCCCCCCCCCCCCTCACCCCCAAGCTATAACTTTTGTGATACTATTCTCTTCATTATGTGGAAGTCTCCAAGTGCTTGGAGCAGCTAAATGAGGAATCTACAGTGTACCTCATGCAATGTACAAAATGTTATGTACCATGCTCTAGACACTGTGTACCAGATGAGAATGTCTTGCTTGGTTGTTTCCCTTTCCCTTGCTTTCTTGCTGGTGGCTCCACAACTGAGTTGGGTGCAAGAAACGGCACTTGTTACTCGGACCTTCCATTTGCCAAAAAGGGATGCCCCCTTCCAGGCACTGTAAGCTTGTCCCATTAGATTGGTGCCTGTGACAGGATTTGGTGGACCAGTTGTACCAGAAGGTCAAGATGGAGGGTTGCATGACCAGAGGCACTGCCGTGTACAGCAGCCTTTCACAGGACCCAAGTGCATGGATGCATGAGCCGAACAAGCCCTGCTGTGGGGAGAGGCCACTCTTGCTGTACGATCGCTGGAGGAAGCTGTCCAGATCGTTCTACAAGAGGACAAGGGACACTTTCGACATCAGCAAAGTGCCTGATATCTATGACTCCGTCAAGTATGATGCCATCCACAATCAGCACCTGGATCTCAAACTGGAGGTCTGTGATGGCCCCACGTTGCTTTGTCCCCTTTGGCAGTGCGTTTGTAGCTTGAGAGATTTTGGCTCAGTGCGGGGCGTGCATTGATTGGCATGTCGTGACATGTCTTCTTGGTGAGAATAGTCAGAGCTCAGATGCACATGGGGTATAGGGTGTATTCACAATGATAGCTTAATTTGACCTCTGGATCAACACGGTCCTCCAAAGGATTACCATGCGCACATCAGTGTCCTTCAGTGCAAAGCGCTCTGTTGACCATTACCGCAGCATGGATTCATCACCACATGGCAAATCACTTCCTTTGCTCCTCTTGGGCGATCGAATGCGTCCTGTGGCAGTGCAACAGACAGGGAAATGCACTATGGCCAATTTTGTCTTGAGGTGTGTGACTTGCGGACTATTGTGCGTTCTGATTTAGCTGTGTGCCCACCTTGTGCTGACTGTCGCCTTTGGTCCCTGGCCAAACACAACAATTGGTCTGTCCTGTACCCTCGGGTACAACCTTCAGTTTGCCAGCATGTTTGGTTGCAGCATCTGGCGTATTGACAGGCGACTGGACGTTGGTTGCGATGCACCACTAATATCGTTGTGCCCCCTAAACTCTTTGTGTGCTGTCCCTTTCAATATATTTGCCTGTTGCAGGCCACTAGAGAACTATCACTGTATTTTGACCTGAGTTCGGTGGAAACATATGCGCTGACTATGCAGTTTTGCATGTCGTTTCCCAGGCCCATTATCATATCTAAACTGCACATGAGGGACGCATTCTTTCATATGTTCGCCTGTTTTGGAGTGAAGCGTAAAACCACTGAGGAACCATGATTTGCCCCTGATGACTCATGGATTGTGTCCATTTGCCAGGACCTGTACGAGACTGCCCGTGCGCTGGCTGTTGGCGTTGTGCCAAATGAGTATGGCGTCAGCCCGGAGGGGAAGCTGCAGATCGGGTCGCAGATATCGTCCCTTCTGCTGGGGAAGCTACTGGCCGACCTTGGAAACACCCGCGAGGAGAGCAAGGCGACCGCAAACCTGTTCTACAATCCGAAAGCGACTGCCAGGGATGCGTTCGCTGCTGAGCTTGGGGCCTATGGCTTTGATGACTATCCGATGAACCTGCCAAACATCGGTAGCAAGGCAACCAAGGACGATGTGGACTCAGAGGAGGACAATGAAGGTGCGGGGTTTGGGGGTGTGAATTGTTGGTGTGTTTTCTGGCTCCCAACTCTTGCATCGAATTGAAGGCCAAGTGTTGCTGCCGTCGTTAGAGGAGAGGTATTGGCCTTGAAGCACCTCACAAGAGAGCGAAAGGCGATTGGGAGGCAAGATGAGCAGCAGCAGAGCCAGGAATTAAAAGCTCAGCACTTACGTGTGTTCTTGTGTCTTCTGTGTGAGAGAGGGGAAGGGGGAGACTCTGCCTATTGTGCTGGTACTGTAGTTGTCAATAAGACTCCATGGAGGCTGAGCCCCAGAACGTTCAGTGTAGCTGTCCCATTCTTTTGCAACCTAATAATCTCACCCAGCAAGTGGGCCAGCGTTGTATGCAAGAGCCAATTCAACGTTGGGTGGCTGGCTTGGTGAACTGCGGAGGAAGGTGCCGTTTGAGTATCACTCAATTGCAATGTCATCTGATGCTGCTTTGTGGCAGCACCACATTTATCCGATCCTGCAAGACCTGTACTGTCTGTTTGGTAGACATATCACAAGGTGGCTGTATATTCAGTCATTGTGTCATTGCCCAGCATCAGGAATAGGCTGGGTCGTGCATGTTAGGGTCGCACGTGTGGCACCCAGATTCGCATGTCTTGCCGTCACGGTCGATGAAAGTCTGTATCTGTCGCCATGAAAAGAACGCTGTTCTCCAGCCCATGACGGCCATCTCCAACCACGTTGACTGGAACGTTCAGAAATAGACAATTGCTTGGACTGTGCATTACCCCGTTGTGGTCCCACGCTGCACTCACATTCACACTGGCACTCCTGTTCATTGTCTTTTTGTTCACAACCCAGAAATTCAGCCCCTGAATTTGTGCCGACTTGTGCTGCACGGCACTGACCAGGCCCTGGCGGAACACTGAGTGCAGAAAGGCCGCGCCAACATGTCCCCCGTGGGCAATGTGCACACAATTACGCACCGTTCGTGTGCTCCTCCAGGGGGAGATCAAGAAGAGTCCGACTCGACTCTGCATCGATTATGCCCCTCTTACGCCGTCAACATCAACTCTCCCATGCGGCACGTGCGCACACGCGTGTACTTCACGTCAGAGAGCCACATTCACGCCCTTGTGAACGTCCTGAGGTACTGCCACAGGGGCGTTGAGGGCGCGGAGCCCATCGTGTGCGAGAGCGGACAGAACATTCTGACCAGCACGCCGGAGCTTGACTACCTGTCTCACATCGTCTTCAGGATGTATGAGAACCAGCAGGTGGGCGTTGATTGTGCATTGGTTTTCATCATCATCACCGTTCATTTTGTCCGAGCAAAGCTGTGTCTATGACCAGTTCATTGAAATCTCATGTTTACCCAAAACAAAGGCCATGAATCTATTAACTCCTAATGCCATTGGGGTTTTCTCTAGGGCGTTTTTGCTGCATTAGGACCTGTGTAGTTCTGTGCTCTGATGGCGTGAGGGTTAGGGTGTTTCTGCCGAGCATTGTCAGGCCATGTGCAAGCGGGCAGGGTGCTGACGCTGTCTGACAAGTCGACTCAGAGCAGAGACACGTGACATGACCTGTGTGTCGTAATGGCACGCTGCATTTATGGATGCACTCACCTATTCATGGAGCAGGAGGCCGCGTGGCGAGATCTTTGGCATTCGCCAGTGCTCGTTGCGTGCTGTGCTGGGCTTCTTGCGCCTCGACAGCACATTGTGGGCAATTGCTGGTGCATGCGTGGGGAGTTGTGTGGCATGATGTCGATGAGAATGGTACTGACAATGAGTGTCGACGAATGGACATTGCCCCTTTCCTGACCGCAGATCGAGACGTGCTGCATGACCGAGCGTCGTGGGCGGTGTGTGTCAGGGATGTAGCTCACACGTCTGCGCCGTGCACTTGTGGCGGCCGGAGAACATGCCCCGGAGGACGTTCCCAGTCTCTGCAGCAATTCTGTTTTAATGCCTGTTAGTTCACATTGGATTCCAACGTTGAATTGAATGCAGTTCGTGCGAAATTACTTTCTGGACAGTTTTGGTTGGTGCATTTTGCCACACAATTGACAGCGTGGAAGTGCTCAGCGCCGGCCTGGGTCACAATGTGTGTCCCGGGTGAAATGTGACACCCAGAAACGGGTTGAAGCGCGCTTGTGCTTTATTGCTGGCGCCAGTGTGCATTCCTCATTCGATTTCTAACATTAAGACACACGGTTTTCAGCAAATGAACACCCATGACACGGCGCCAACGACTTGTTGCGTGCAGGTTCACATCAGCGACCCCCTGCGGTTTCGTGTGGAGGTGCTGTTCAGCCCAGGCGCGGCGTACAACCCGTTCGAGGTCATGCCTCTGCGGCGCAACCATACCCTCCCAGTGCACCCCCGCGTGGAGCTTCACCAGGTGCGTGCAAGCACAAAAGCCTCTGACTCCGAGGACTGCTCTGTTTCTGTCAGAATCTGAACAATTCAGATTATTTGGGTGAAAGAATCTATGAAATTTTGTACCAAAATAGTCTGAATTGTTGGCATAATCTGCTTTGGTACGAAATGGTACAAGACGTATTGCTTTGTGGCACTGCGACAGCCACGGAAAGACCCCATTCGTGCAGGTTGTTCGAGTCGAACAACTGTTGCTGACGGAGGTACGCCCACGGTTTCCAATCAGTGCAGCAGTCATTCCCAAACGTGCAGCGTTTCTCCTGAAATCGTAACCTCCAGTGCTCAATGCGCCCTTGGCCCCAAACCAGGCCACTAAGGGGCCTGCACTTCCTTCAAAGAGCCTGCCGCATTTTACAATAAATAAATAAATAAACAAATAAATGGATAAATAAATAAATATAAACATAAATAAATATATGTATATACACACACACCAGATGCTGCCAATAACTTTACTTTACAAAAGAGCTCATACGAAAGAGGTGACCTGCATATGCGAAAGCCTTCACCCCTCATTTGCTTCGCCATAGCTGTGTTCGCCATTGTTGCGCACACTCTGCCACAGCTCGGATCTCCGCAACTCCCAGAACTCCGACCGCCGCTTGATCCCGCAGGCAGCTCCAGTTGCCGCTTGCTATCTCTGCAGCACCGATCGCCACTTGCTCTCTCCAGCAGCTTGGATCGCTGCTTGGTCTCCCCTGCTGCTCCGATCGCCGCGGCGCCCTCCCAGAGGCATCACCCCTAGTAGGACTGTGGTGCAGTCTGGCGCCAGACCGGCGCCGGTCTAGCAACACGTCTAATGTACAGAGGGCGGTCAGAGGACCCCCTTTTGTCCTTTGCAACCCCCACAGAGGAACCCCTTTTGTCAAGATATCTCACAGTGGACCCCCTTTTGTCATTTTCCCTACATACGGACAACAAATATGCAGGCAAGATCAATGCCCGCCATCGCCTTGCAGGTGTGGGAACTGCGCTGCGCCAGATCTGGCAACCGCAATCAAGTGGGCTGCCTTTCTCCTACAGGAGCGTTTATGCTGAGCATTGTGTAGACCGCTAGAATCCTGACCCTGTCTGACGAGGTGGGTTCAGTGGAGATACGTCGACATAACCAATGTGTCGTATGTTCACTGTACCTTAATGGATACATTCACGCATTCATTCATTGTCCAACAGGCGAACGGCGCCACTCTGGACTACGTTGAGAAGCTTGTGGCGCGCTTCTCGACCCCCCGGAAGCTGCAGACGCCTGCGCTCAACTGGCTGCCCTGCAGCAACACCGGTTCTGCCCCCACCTATCTGCAGCGGTCGGGGCTGAGGAAGCCTTCCCTCAGTGTCGAACAGCCGACCGTTCTGCCCTCGGAGTGACAGTTGGCCCACACCATTCAGGGACGTGCGCGGTGCTTTTGGCTATTCGCACAGTGGCCAGGTTTTCCGATCTGGTGTCACAGGTTTGGCCAAAGTCGCTCCGCTTTGGGGCTGGGGGGGGGGGACCCTGGGCGGGTGGGCGTGTCTGGTGCGAAGTAGCTGCTCATGCGCTTTCAGTGTCATGTGCTGTGATTGCGTGTGTGGGTCGTATTAGAATTTGCGGAATCCTTTGAAATAGCCTTCGACAAGACACAGCGGCGCCCTTGCTCGTTGTAGACAATAACGGGCATGTGCACATCCATGAACGGTTTGTGTCCGCTTGGTTTACCCGCACGCCACCTGTGTGTCCAGGCAATGCTACATGGCTGATGTCCCGAGCTTGGTGAATTGGTTGATGCAAATTGTATAAAGAATCCGCATCTGCTGAGGCGATGATGGGAATAAAATGTTCGTCGCCGCCCTTTGGGCGAGTTGGCGGAGACGGGGCGCCTGGCTTTGTGGACATTTGTTGATCGATTGAATGGCAGCTTTATCTTGGACTCTGGTAGATGTGGCCAGCGCCTCTGGCATGTGTGATGGTCATGCAGCACTCGATGGTGGGTTGCTGAGCGGCATGTTGCACAGCGTCACGCATGTCTTTTCCACAGAAAGCAAGCGTGCATTTGCCGTGTGATGAACACCAATCGACATGACACTATCTGGGCCACCCAAATCTGGAGGAGCTAACAACAAACTGGTGCACTGTGAGGCACAGTGCAGATGATTGTCATGACTAAGGAGGAATCGATGCGTCCAACGAACATGCTCGACTGTGACTGCAAATCTTCACTTTGCCAAGACTCGCCTTAGTCCGCCGACGTCATCAATTGATGGATTGACGGACTGCAATCCAAGCTACCTGGTGCTTGCTGTCGACATCCTGGCATGACCATTGCGTTATGTACAGAAATCCGCGCGGGCCTCCAGGAAGCGTGGGGTGAGTGTGGAAAGAGTATTGATTCGTGCATATTTCAGCACGAACAACAGGCATAATAATAATGAATGATAAAAAGCACACTTACGCATTAATGCCACCGCGTGCGAGGCAGTTTCTGGCCCGGCAGGATCTGGCCGAAGGACACGGGTGTGACACGGGAGCCATTTTCGCAGCTGACTTTGAGCAAGCGGAATCTGAGGCCTGTGGGAGCCCCGTGACGAAAAGGGCGCCTAACTGCACCAGCAACTGCGCTGAAATCGTCGCAAGTCAAGCAGAGGCGCAGCCATCCCGGGCCTGTCGAACATCACCCTCTAGCGTTCAACCTGCTGCTCTCATCCACAGATGCAGAATGAGGACATTCGCATCCCTGCTGCATTTGCCTGACTCGCATTTTCGGCGGCTCTACCCATTCCTCGCAATCTGCTTGATTGGTCCTCGACACGCTGGCGAAAGTCCGTCAAGATATACTTGCCACAACCAGACAGTTTCGGTCCCCACCCAGCGCGTGTAGCATGGCGATTTTCGCTCTTCTGGGCTTCACAGGATGTGGGAAATTACTTGCAAACAGTCATTTTTGGGCCGGCGGCATGGTCATCCCATCGTCCACAGCGCCATCAACTTCTTGACAACGCTGATTTTCCACCAATCAGCACTGCGAGCTGGCCGCCACCGCCACGGTGACCCAGCCCAGCTGCTCAGCCCTCGACACACCCTGGCCAGCCGCTGCTCCGACTGTGGCGGCAAGCGCCGGCGTTGAAGTAGTGCAAACACAAACCTGCCAAGTCCTGCACCGTGTTGCGCCCTAACAGGCTCCCTGGAAGAGCGGCGTGGGCGGGAATGTCGTCTTGAAGTGCGTCTTCGAAATCCTCTGCGCCAATTCGTCGAACGCGCTGGCCTTGTGACCAATGGTCAGGTCCCTGGGGGTCTCGTACTTGTCGGTGGCCATGGGCGTGAAGTTTAAGTGGACAGGGAGTTGAGCGTGCGGGGCGCAGGTGAATGCCCTGTCGTGGTGCTGACACATGGCCACCCAGTCGACGGACTTCTCCAGGAGCAGCGCCTGGCGGACGGTGTCGTAGGGGGGCGTGGCTTGCAGACTGAGACGGGAGCTTTGCTGCAAATCGTTTCCGCGGCTCAACGGCGGCAGCGTCTTTGCCTGGGGCAGCAGGAATTCAATCTATTTGTGTAGTTTGCTAAATGCTATTTATTAAGTCTGCTTGGATTAAATTATAATTATTCTGAAATTTTCGCAACGGTCGTCATGTCCGCCATCGGCGATTGGCCGTCAGGAGTGCCGGGGCGCCAGACACGCAACGCGCACGCGCCCCGTGGGGGTGGTACCTGAAGCTCTTTGTACATTGCGAGTTCGGAGACTCTGCGTCTCGTTTTCGTAATGCAAATGGCAATCATTATCCGAGATCATCGTGTTTGCGATGCCAGCTGCGAGTGGGTGCGATGCCATCAATTAATCCAAATGGCATCGCAATTGGCAACACAGGAATATCGGTCTGTACGGGTGAATGATTGTCAATGAGGCGAGACCCAGAATCTCCGAATTCCTGCTTCTCGTCAACCGCATTCGTTGGGCAATTGCGAATCACCGCTCATGCTCGTGTCGAGTGATGTGGAGCGCGGTGTCCGCATCAGCGGCGAAACGACACAGGGGTTTAAGGGCTGCATGCTTCACTGCCTCACTTATTGCATGCCACGCCTTTGATTGGTCCAAGGGACCTAGAGGCTCGGATAATCGGTGGCTCGAATGGCGGGAATGTGCACGGATTGCTCGGCATCGAGTCCCCCCTCTGCGCTCACTTTCGCTTTTCCAGATTCTCTGAGCCAGTCTTCCAGGGGCCTCCCGTCCACGGTCATGATGCCCCCTCGCGCGACGTCATATGGCGACATGAAGACGCTCGGGGTGCAGTACGTGGACACCTGGGGGGGCGGCCGGTTTTGGAAATCTCGCAAATGCACCACATATGGTGAACTTGCATTGTATAATCTGCAAATAAATTTGCACATATAGTCTGCATATAAATTTGCACATATAATCTGCGTATAAGTTGCTTGTATGCGGAACTCAAGGTCGACAGGCTGGAAGCATTGTTGCGTTGCCCAGAGAGGCTCGAACTTGTAGTCCGTGAGTGTCAGGAGGTGCGATTTCGATGCGCACAGTGTTCGGCGCTAAGGCAAGCCTGATTGCTCGCTGGGCCATGCGACTGATCATCAGGACAAAGTTTGAACTTGATGCAACACTGTGGCTGCATTGCCATTGATGCATTGCCCATCAACGCTCCAGCAATTGTCTGTATATGTGTATAACAATGTTGAGAAGCGTCGGCGCATTTGCTAGAGTTGTGCCAACGCTGCTGCATTAGGCATACTGCGGCACTGTGCGGCATTTCATAAATGACACACCATTGCATCAAAGTATGCACCTGTCCCAGCTGATTAGGTGATGGCTTGACTGGTCGAATTGATGACTACTTTATTGATGGGTAAGTGATCGATGAACCGATTAATCGATTGATTGATTGAGCTTTTGGGATAGCCTTTTGTGGATTGCCTCAAGGAACGCCATTACCATGTGATGCAGCCCATCGATCTGGCGCTCGAAATTCTTCCTCGCCAACTCCTCCGCGTCTGCCTGCTCCTTTTCCACGGCCTCCTGGTAGCGCACCTTCAGATTCTCTCTCACTGAGCTGTTTTTGAGCCTGATCTGCTCCAAGAATCTGCGGCGAGCGTGAAAGCTGTGGATATATGTACGGCTGAAATACCCGCGCCAGCGCCTCTGAATTCTCGTCGCCATGGCGTCAAAGTACTCCTGCGCATCATTGCGATTTTACGCAGTGGTTTTGACACAGGTCACTTGGCTGACCGCAGCCTTTGGGCACATTTCCAACGTGTTCACCGGTGGTGCGCTACGATGTCTTGCGCCATGCTCCGGACTGTTTGGATGCATTGCGGCACAAAAATCATGCAATTTTTGTCATTATGACAATGCTATGATAGCATTCATGCGCATATTTCGTTATGCGTAAATTGCAATGTGGAAAAGATGCGTTTGGGGGACTCATTGCACGTTATTCATCTTTGCGAATTGCGAAATGAATGCTTGGATAGGCCCTCAGCAGAGCGGGAACCCCCGCGGATGCCGTCCCCAAAGCTTGTCCGCGCAGGCGAAAGGAGATGTTCGCAACGTACAATGTGATTGCAAACTTAGGACTTTGCAGGGTCTATTTTCGCCACCGCTCTGGCGCTCGTTGGTAGCTTTCACCTGTCTCAAATGTCGGTCATGGGCGTCCCGAGCGCGCTCAAATTTCCTGCGTCCGAGGTGCCCCCTCCAGCATTTCTGTATCGTCGTGGCTGTGCGCCTGAACGCATTGGCGGAACCGCGCTTTATTTGTCCCGCGCGGCAATGCTCAAAATGAGCTTGAAGGACACCCACAACACATTGCCGGAAAGCAGCTGTTCCAAAACAATGGAGCAGAGGTAAATTTGAACAGACCTAGAAGCTCGAACTGTTGTGCTGCGTGGATTGCCCTTGGTGCAAATGTGTCGTCGATGCATAGGTACATATAATTTGGGAAATGCCCGTACATCAATGGCGGCAAGCACTCATGGCGATTTCGATGTCGTTAAGAGTAGCTGCATTGGTATTCCTACATGTTCGCCTCCCTTCTGAAACAAGGACTTCCAGACAAGCACGTTTCGAAGGCCGGCGAATGAAACATTGGTTCCTGGTGACCATGGAAGGGCCTGGCGTTTTGGATCCGGGCAGATGCCATGACACCGGAAATGCGATGCGCTGCAAGCTTTTCGGCCCATCTGTGTGTGCAGGCGAGCTCAAAATTCTCAGATACTTAAGGAATGTGTGTGAAACCTTGCAGCCACATTGAAATGAACGACTTGGGTTAAAGTGCCATAAACAATGGTATCCATTTCTGCACCATTAGCCAAGTCGTGCTCTCGTGCACAGAGCTCCGTACCGCATAAAATCGATGTTCTTCCTGACGAAAAAGCTTCTCCA